TTTCTGTGATTCTACATGTCATCTGAATGTGTGAAATATACTTGAACTTAACAACCTGTCCAACATTACTCACTTGTAAAATGAACACACCTAAGGTGTCAGCACATCTCTCCTAAGTTTATGAAGGAAGGAAATATCATTCAGTTCTTACACTGGTTCAGTACTGCTACTGATGGCACAACAGGTTGCTAAAGCTCCAATACTAACATCACAACCAGAATTCTAGAGTGGTGTGACTTCAGGCCTCATTGCTTTCTGGTGTAGCCAAGTTACTAGTATGTTTTCTACAGTACAAAATATTTTGCACTACAATAAATTATCAGCTTTAGTGCCTCTCCCCCCATTTGGCATTCTATTAAAGCCAAGTCAAATAAGGCAATATATGACCACCTATAGACTAAATCAAACATCCCTATAATCTTGCGCTATATTCTCTTTTGCTTGGTATCTGTAGAAGCAACAAGGTACTTAGATTAAGTAAGCCACTCTATGCAGTTAACTGAGGAATTTGGACCTACAGCTAACAGAAACTGAGATCAGAGTGGGCAATTCCAAAGTTGAACAAGCTTCTCCTTCCTTCCACCAGGTACTTACAAAGATTTTGTGTAATTCCCCCCTGCTCTAAATTCTTGTAATATACAAACAACCTAGAACATCAAAAGAAAAATGTGGATTTGAGCACCTTTATGTTCCCACCAAGGCCTCCATTACTTTTAAAAATTTCAGGGCTGGCGCTTTGAGCACCGGGCATAGTGCGCTCTACACTTACTTCCTTCAGCCACAAGTGAGGTGACAGCTGCTTAAACAGAGAAAGCAAGTGTACACAGATTATCCTGAAAAGCCCTCACTACTTTAAAGTAACCTTGATTTTTTTTCACTGCCCTCCCAACTTAAAGGGTTTGGCAGGCAGCACTCACATCCAGATGGTGGACAAGTAAACCTACTTCAACAGATTGTATTACAATGCTTTACACTGAGCAGTTATTGGATTAAATGTATAAATAGCTGTGGGAAACCAGGACTTTCCTCTTTCAAATAATCATCATTCAGCTAGAAAATTATCTTTCCTCTTGTCACTCCTCTGTGGCCCAGAGAATCCTGCAACTTTCTCTGAAGCTCTGTCTGTGCAAGAGGACAGTAGAATCCAGTTCACATACTCTGAGATCATTTGAGAGTGCAAACAATGTACTGGAGAGGGAAAACAACTGATATATTTCAGAGTAGGAGCTTTTTTAATTAAAGCCCGCTTTTTGAATTAAAAAAATAGTACAGATCACTTTAAAAGGACCCAAGCACCCAGAGGGGCAGACAGACCAGTGTTTAGGGTATTTTATGCGAAGTAGAATATAATTTCCCAGAAATCAAATTAATATCAACTACTCCCACTGTATCAGTTTCTGTGACTTATGATGAGGTGTCCTACTCCTGTTAACTAAATTGCTCTACAATTCCCTCACCTAACTGTAGCTTGAATTCCTCTCTTTGGACAGACACCTAAACATATGTGGATACAGCTAATTTATTCCTTCGCTCTATGTAGCCCTATCTAGCCCTGCAACTTCTAGGGTATCTAGAAGAGCATTACTTCTGTCAGTCAAAAGAGATTTCTACCCGTATTCAAACACCTTCTTTGTACTGTTAGATAACCTTGAAAAAACAGAGTAGAGAAAGGAACTATATTTCAAAACATTCTGTCTGCTCAGTTTTATCACCCCTTACATTAATCTCTCTTGCAGAATCTGAGTCTCTAGTTATGTCTTTTATAGAAAGACAAAGATTCACACTAAAATACTTTAATAATATTAAAAATAATTTTCAGTATCACATTTTTAGTATATCAGTACCCCAGTGAATTTAATTATGGATTAAATGCAATTTATATTTCATTCTAGTTTACTACCAAAATCAGAAGAGGGTTATATGGACTTGATAGCTAAGAGAAGTAAAAAGAACAAAATGTTTTGAGTAATAATTTGAACCACTTAAATAAACAAAGACAAAGCAGCTACAATAACCAACGAAAGTTTAAGCAGTACCAATCAAAAATAACTCTCATATTTTATTGTTAAAATAACCATATTCCTCAGTATAGTGCAGAAAAAATACTACAATATAAATATAACAATTTATTATTCTAAACAAACAGACTCTTGCAGGACAGGAAAGTTTTGAGTTAAAGGCCTAACTTTAGATTCGGAATGCACCTCTGCCACTGACAAGATCCAAGACACAAAATATGTGAAAAAGCCTGAATATGTAGTCAGCATGACCTGAAAATATGCAGTTTAAAGTGAATTAGCTGATTAATTAGCTGAACAACTGCCAATTATTTTCATGAGTTATGAAAAACAGGCTAAGTGTCAAAGGACTTCATAAGACAATCAAGTTAACAAAAATGCTTGGTAGAAATTATAAAATAAAACTCAGAAATTAACTTTATACTTTAAGTAGGATTTTTTTGCTATGCTACCTGCACTTTTGCTCTATGAGCTCAAAAATCTCCATCGAAGAGACATTTACGTGGCTCAGACACAAACACATACACATCAAAATCTACACAAGCTACACAGAAATGTCAATGCGCAAGATTCAGGACTAGACTCTGTCATAGTTGGCAATTTGTAAGGCAACTAGATAAGGAAAGCAAAAGAACATGTAATAGTAGAGCAGAAAGCAACAGTGATATGAAATTATTAAAAAGTCAAACTAAATGCAGAGAAGAAAATGGTTTCTATCATTCAAGCAGCAGATGCTACAGCCAATAACCTTGAGCAACTCTGTGAGCTCAAAATGTCATTCCACAAAGGGACTGCATAACTGTAATTACCACTTCTGGTATGGACTTGATATACAAAATGTTCCATGTAACACAGCCAAACTCTGCTAAGCTTAATGACCAGTGCATCTGAAATTCAAAAATTAGTTGCTTTAGATTAATCAGAAAAGAGCAAGAAAAATTAACGGAATGGCATAATTCAGCTAAGGACTGCAACTGCTCAAGAAGAGATTATGAACTTGGGGTATTCCAGAATTATCAGATACAACCATCAGAAGAAAGTAAAATCCTAATAGTAAATCCTATTAGGTGAGAGAACAGTCTCCCCAGAGAAATGCTACAAGTCCTGCCACCACTTTAACAGTTATGAAGAAGAGCGTTTTCATGAAGAAGCCTGCAATGGCAAGAATACAAATCCCTTCTATGTAAAATTTCTGGGATTATTGTCTGAAATCAAACTATTGCCAGGTTGGTTTTTTTTCGTAATTCTGTCAGAAGCAATCCATTCAATGCATGCATCAATTTATCTCTCAGAATATGAAGGACTTGTGATGATTGCATATAAAAATATGAGTTTCTCTATCTGAAATGCATCTTTCAGCTTCACTGTAAAATATCTTCCCATTTGTTTCATGGCAATCCGTCATGATGGAAAGTTGTAACAAAAAAAGAATACTTATAACATTTGACATACACAAACGACAATAAAGAAGGTATTATATTTTTATATCTCACAGCATTAGATGAAAAGATAATATTTTTTTAATTATACCTGCTTTCAGATTTATTAGAGCAAGAGAAGGAGGCCTAAACCAAATACAAAGTAAAGTTCCTTTTTGAGTTCTGATTATCTTATCCAATAAAAGGTGACCTTCAACACACTTTTAAAAACGAAGAGAATAAATCTGAAGACTTCTGAAGACTCAAACCCATATTCAAAGAACCCAGTGCTTTCCCACTCTAATTGTACTGACTGATTTTTCCAGAGCACTTAGAACTCAAGTAGATACAATCTGTATTTTCCATGTGGTTGCACAGGATGTGCTGTATAAATGGTTATAGAACAGAACAGGGGAAAAGATCAATTATGCCACTGATCTGCCTTATGACAGCAAGGATGCCAAATGGAGACAGCTGGGACAGAAAACTTTCAGTAATCCAATCACAAAATGCTATCAGACTGCTGTAAATGTCCTTTATTTCACTTACTGTATGCAATCATGGAAGACATCAAGGTTTTCCATGCAGATTTGTTAAAATAAGAACTGCTAGTCCTCTTGTCTTTTTCTCCACTTGCTCTACCACATTTCCAAACATTTCTTTCTTTCAATAAAATACGCAGACAGAACATTCATCAGAAGGAAAGAATGTTACAGATCATCAAAAACAGCATCAGGAGATAGCATAAGAAACTAAGTAGTACTCTTTCAGTTTTAAAGCAATAAAAACCAAGGACAGCAGCTTTTGCTGCACGTTTTGCAGGCCCAATTCCGAATGGGTGAGAATTGCTACCTTTATGGTGAATGATGACCACAAATTAGATGGGAAAGGCATTTTAAAGAGGAAGATACCATTCTGGCTGCAATGTAAGGAACATGGTAATAATCATCAATAACCTTTAATAAACAAGATTGGCTCAATATGAAAACCCAAACAAAAATGAGAACACATGGTGCAGAAACAAGAGGATATTGCCAATCTATCCCAGTGAATTTCAAAGGAAACAGAAAACTATGTTCAGGACTGAACATTTTCTCAGAAAAATTATCACATTTAATACTTTAAGCCTTAAAAAATACACAGTTGCTTCTATTAGTAAGAAAAAAAAAACAGGAAAAACTGGCAAATGCTACCTCTAATCATTCTCCAAGTTGAGAAGACTCTGCATCAAAGAATAATCTTTTTTTATGGTCATGATAAGGACAAGAAATACAGTCTCATAGATGTGGGTATTGAACACTCATAGATTTAGACTAGATCTTTGGGTGAGGGAGGGGGGAGGAAAGCCAGGAGCTGTACAGCTACCCTAAAGGCTCCTAAGGGCACATCAGATACACATTTTTCAGGAATAATAAAAGCATGGCTGAGCTTTGGGATGAACTATCCATTAGATTGCCCTTCCAAGGAAATAAGAGAGGGAGAAAAAGGTAAAGAACCATTACAGATACATGAGTCTTGATGTCCTTTAAAAATACTCAGGGTAAACCAAAACATCACAACTTACCAAAAGAAAAATAGTTATTCCCATTGCATATCAGTAGTTTAACTAAGCTTCTGAATCATCCACCTGAAAGCTCAAAAATAAACATTACCCTCTATGAGAAATATTTCAACATTAAAACCCAATGTTCTCCATGTTTCAGTCACAAAAATTGTATAATAAAAAGCCAAGCAGTATATTTCAAAGTGAATTATTCTGATTCCTTTCATTTTTTTAATAGTTTAATCTACTTCAAATTTGTATAAGATATATAAAAAGTATCAAAAGAATTTAGAATATGCCTTACAGAAAATGCATCTATGTCAATACAAATATATTATCTCAAATGCTGTGGAAACAGTCAATTTTTATTTTCTCCCATTATGCATACAGTTTCCAAGAGAAAAGTCCTTCTTCAGTTTCTTGTTACTTCATAATCAGGAACTTTTTTTACTTTGCTTTAAATAAAGCAGGTTTTTCAAATCTAGTGAGCCATGGGAGAAACTAATTTCCAAATCAGAAGTCTAATGTTTTCTATTTATCTCCTTAGTTGTGAAGGATGCCATGAGTGTCCACAATACAGAAAAGGATAGAGCAGGATTAAAGCAAAGCAATAGGAACGTTTGTGTGTTTACATATTTGTGCAGTCATTCTAAAAACAGTTTCCATTAAACCACATGACTATTTACTAATTCAAATCTATTTTTCAAGCAGTTCTATAAATTCTTGCAGATTTAATCAAATTTAAGACCAACCTTAGTACGTTTCAGTAATTTGCCTGAGAAGAAAGTTTCTTTAGTTATATTAAGAATATTTTACTGTAGAGGACAATGTATTTTAGTAATTTAAGAACTTGTATATTTTCTAATACAGCTATAACATAGTATTTCACAATCAACACAAAGTTTTACCAATGTTTTCATGTTTCCCCATTCATCTTTCTCTGCTAGCAATAAGTCAACAAAGATACAACAAAGCCCGTAGGAAAGAGGAAACTGACACGTAATTTGGTTTTCTCTCACGGGATACACATTCTAACCACACTACATTAACTGACCTCTTGCAGTGTTCACTCTGAAACCATTCACTGTGTTCAACCACTTTTCCAACTTCCAATAAAAACTACAGCAATCTTACCAGTCTTTGTATAAAACCCAAGGCTCACTTTACATATCTAACCTCAATCACCTCTACCTTTTACCACTGTGCTTCCACACAGTAATGTGAACAGGAACCTCCCGGAGCACAAGATCACGTGCTCTTTCAATTCACATAATTTTTCTCAGAACAACTGTAAAATGTTATTTCTAAACTACTCACTGTAAGAAAGTTCAAGTTTCATTTTTCACATACAGATCTTTTTCCCACCATATATATTGGCCAAACTACTACAGCTTTTAACATGAGGTTAGCAGGGTAAGAAAAGGAGTCAGACTTTAGCTCTTCCATATACAACACAGACACATACAAAGCAATATTCATATTATACATACAATGTATAAAACCTTGAAAAACACTGTTACGCTTTAAGCTTGCATGTAAAGTGAGGAAGCACTTACAGAGTTGCACTAGTTTCTCTAAAGATGCAGTCACAGCATACTATGTCTACGTAAAGCCAGCAGTTTGTCTGTATGAGTTGTCCCTTGCATTAAATAAAAGTATTAAACAGGAATGAAAAATGACAATAAAAATATGCAGAAAACTAGGATGTATTAGTTTAAATCAGCTAAAAAGGAAAACTGAACAACAAGCTTTACAGACGAGAAATATCAGCTTGAACTGTAAGACCAAATAGCTGAAAAAAAAAAAAAATCCCAAACATTTTCATCCCTTTATGTACCACCTCTGCCATAGCATTGGGAAACTTTCTATAAAGTAATTGTAGATGTCCATTTTAATTTACCATTATTTACTTGTTAGAAAAGGATTCCATTTAAAAAAGAAAGATTATTTCAGCTATCTTGGTAGCACAGCTGGCACTCCACATGAAAGTGTCAACAAAAGTTGCAATGCCAGCACATCACAGCAAGAGAGAATCAAGAGCGTCAAACATTAAACACATTTTATTAAGAAAACCTAATAAGTCAAAGTTTTGAAAAGAAGTTAATTATAGCAGCAGAAGGGCAACACATTTACTGCTTACTCTTTCCAGAAAGAGGGGAAAAGACAATGCCTAGAGTGAAGGTATTAATTTTTTTACAATGACACCCAAGGGATTTATTTTCATGATCAGATTATTACTTAACTTGGTAATATGACAGTCAGTCCACTATTTAGATACTTAATAGTATCTAAATTATTAGATAATTCTAATTATCTAAGATTCTTATTAAGAACCTTACACTAAGTTTGGCCTTTTAGAATTGCAGAATATCATGGGAAGGGACATTGAGTTCAACTCCCAGCTCCACACAGGGCAACATAAAAGTTAAACCATATACCCAAGAGTGTTGTCCAAATGCTTCTTGAACACCAATAGGCTTGGGGCAATGACCACTTCCCTGGGTACCTTGTTCCAGCGCCCAACCAGCCCCTCATTAAGAACCATTTTCTAATATCAAATCTGAACTTCCCCTGAGACAGATTTGAGTCATTCCTTCCACTTCTGTTACTGGACATCAGTAGGAAGACATTGGTCTTTCCCTCTTTGCTCACCCTTGTTTCATTTGTTTGGCCCATAAGCCTTAATAACCCACACAGTTCTTTAAAGAAAAACAGAAATGTTGACCATCCTTCTCTTTGTCTGAGACACTAGTTCAAAGAAAGCATCAGCTATAAAAATTTTTCTTTCCCTCTCCTCTACCACCACAAAGCCCAAGTCCTCCCACAACACTAACCACCGGTTCAAAAAAAAAAAAAAAAATCAAAAATTATAAAACTCCACAGTTTGGTTAAAAGTTATCTCCTCCCAAAAATGAAATTACACTGAAACTAGAAAGAGACTCTACCAGGTGGCCTAGCACCGGGTATGTGAAAACCTGGCCTGAAATAGACAGCAAGCTAGAAGTCCAGCAAGCTCTAATGGCACTGAAACCTAAAAGAGGCAAATATATACATTACAAGTTTATACGTTTCCCTATTTAAATACAAAAGCTTCTAGAAATAAAACTGTTGATTCTGAAACTGAATTAAAATCGCTTCTTCCTACACACCTCTCCCAGAGAACACCTTCAAAGGATTACCAGCACCTACACCTTCCACACACACACACCTGATTCCATCGCCTCCATGTTATTTATTAACGTTGGGCATTTCTTTCAGTTGGCACCACAAACACGGGGTTTAACTTCGATGTCCCCCGGGCTCGCCGCAGACCTGCGCTCCTGGCCCCGGCTCTCAGCCCAGGCCCCCTGGGCCCACGGCGGCGGGCACCCAGCCCAGCCCAACGCAGCCCAACCCAGCGCAGCCGCGGCCAGGACGGCGGCCCTTGCCGCTCTCTGCTCGGAACCAGGGCGGCCCACGACACCGCAAGGCACCGGCTGGGCAGGGGCAGAGCGCGGGGCACGGCGGTCCCGGCGCTGCGCCCAAATCGCAGCGGGCGGCGCTGGCTCCCGCTGCCCTGGAGAAGTCGCCGCCGCCGGCCATCCCCTCCCGCGGCACTGCAGGGTCGGCACGTTCCGGCGCCCGCCGCTCCGCTCGGGGCTGCCAGGGGAGAGGGGCCGGCGGGGCGGGCGGAGCGCGGGGACGCCGGACGGGAGGGAACAGGAGGACTCCCGAGCGGGAGGCAGCGCGACTGGGCACATCCAGCCGGGCGCGATGGTGAAAGAAGCGAACGTCTCTACCTCCTTCTTTTTCTGTCCTCCCCCGAGCTGTCCGCAGAGCAGCAGCAGCAGCAACAGGAGGACGAGGAGGCAGCCCCCGGCCGGCAGGAGCGGCCGCTGCGGTGCCCCCGCGCCCAGCGCCATGTTCCGCCCCCGCCGGCTGCACCTGCGGCACCGCGGACACCGCCGCCGCGCTCATTGGGCCTGCGCTCGGCCAATCGCAGCGCCCCGCGGCGCGGCGGCGCCTGGGAAATGTAGTTCGGGGTGGGTGCGCTCCCGTGGGGGTTATCTAACAATCTAACACAATCTAAACAATCTAACCTCCTGCTCCAAATTCCCCGCTACCTAAAGCACTGAGTGCAATCCGAATCACGACAAAAAAAAAAAAAAAAAAAAAATCCCAGACTCTTCTTTCCTAAACGTTTGTGCATATACACTTTTTAGATTTCACTATACACACATAAAGTTGCCTATGAAGAAAATAATATTAATGCAATACACTAATACAATTAATTCGAATTTAATTCCCAGAGCATTAACCATGCAACTTTAATTTGATATTCTCATTCATGATACATAGTCAGTGATTATGTATTTCTTGAAAGTACACACTGTGGTGCATAGGATAGGTAATGTTAAATTAATGAGCATATACTTTTTTCCCCCCTAGAATTCCAAGTACACTCCTCGTGCTGCATTAGTTACTTACACACATCTGTCCTGAAAACTCAGAAGTTAGAACTATTCGATTCTTCAGAGATCTTGCCATATCACTCAAAAATTTTATGAACTTTATAATCAAAACACCACAATGAAATAGAAAGCTGAGGCACAAAGAAAGTATTCAAAAGTATCAGTTTATTTTGGGCACAGAATTTCTAGATGGTATTATAATAATATCAGGTACTAATTTGATGATACTGCTGATAACTTAGCACCAAGCAGTTAAAACATTAAACAGGCCATTGTGTTCTCTTGAGGTATATTTGCAACATGCCTTTCAGAAGTTACACATGCCCATAGGAGTAGTAGGTCATATCCAAATAATCTACAAAATAATAAGTTCAAGAGCGTTCAGACCACCTGTTATCTACATCTATCAGGTTCAGACTATGGTTTGGCAATAATAATCATAAAAGAGTGTGAAATATGGACCCTGCTTCTCAAGTATTTGGGAAGGTTGGCTCACCAGCCCTTGACTGTAGACTTTGAGTTCAAATACCAGGGCTTCAATAAGACTTCAAAACAGGTGATGTCCATATGCCTACTTATTTGTTTTAAAGAGAAATCACAGATCCATTCACTCCAGTCCTCAGTTGCCCAAAATT